GAACCGCCTACGAGAGCCGCCGTCGCCGTCGGAGCGCCGCACACGGCTAGCGCATCAGCCGCCGCCGCGCAGCGTCACCGCCCCGCCCGGTCCGCCGTGGGGAGGCGGGACCGGCCGGGAAGGAGCGAGTCGATTGGTGCCGCCGAGTGTCACTTGCGGAAGACCCCTAGGACACTGGTGTTTTTCTGGGGCCTGTCATTCTACACAATCCAATGAGAGCCCCTGGTGGGACTCGTCCGCCAGCCACGTCGTTGATTGGTTCTTATCGAGGCCAATCAAACTTCTATAAAGCTCATTGGTGCTTTTCTGAAGTCTCCAGCGCTTCGAGAGGACTCTAAAACCAGAGTGCCCGGCCACTTTGATCGCCCATTGGCCAGTGATTCCGCCACTCATTTCAGTTCATGCTCCCGTCACCGCCACGTCACCCCCTCGCATCATTCTTCTTAGCGTCCCTCTTCCGCCCTTATGGATTGGTGATTGGTATCAGCGGCCCAATCTCTTCTGCCATTGACTGTAGCGGTGGAGGAAAAAGGGGAGGAGTCTCGTCGCGTCCTTTTATTTTTTATTGCTTGGTATGAGTGCCACTCACCTGCTGACCAATGAAAGAAATCTACTGGGAGACGGGCAGGCCGGAACAGCCAATCAAATCTGGAATGTGCGCTTGGGGGCGTGCCCGCCTGCTTCTAGCTTTGGGGGGATGTTGGTGGGAGATAAAAGCATGTCAATTTCCCTAAAGCATTTTTGATATAAGTGCCGTGATGGAGTCGCTCTTGCTGAGTTAATCTCTCCGTAGTTTCTCAGCAGCCAGGCCCTGCGTGAGTCTCCTCCTTCCAGAGCCCTCTTCCAGCAGCCGGCTTGGGTCTGGAGGCCCAGATCCGCGAGGAGCCCAGAAATAGCTTCATCAGTTCCCTCCCGGGTCCACGATCGTCCTAAGTCCCTTCCCTAGTTTTCTTATCACCGCACCGCACTCCTCATTTCCTGCTCTAATTCTGCCCCACGCGTTGCCCACCTTGCCGTGGGGAGGGCCTGGCGTTATCCACTCTTCCCACCGGTGTCTCTTCCAGACCTAAGCGCACGTGTGTATTCCTAACTTCGCACCACATTTCTTTTTTTTTTTTTTTGATAAATTGAGTTTGTTCACACATTTGTGAAAGTAACATTCAGTAACTCATTTAACATTTAGATGTAAACGACTGTTAAAATGGAGCTTTGGGGAACCTGTTACATTTTGCTAGTTTAGATAGGCAATAGAAATAGCTGCTAGGCACTGGAGAACAAATTGCTTTTCCTTGGTAGCGTGCTTCCCGGTTTCAAGAAAGTAAAGGAAAACACCCTTTTTAGAAAATGTTTTTAAAAGGAGAAATTTATTGAATTAAGAAGAGAGAATACATTTTGAAAATCTGCAGTTAGATGTAGGCTATTTGGGATTAGTTTGTGTGTGTGTGTTTTTAACTGAACGAAAGTGAACCCATTTATGCCATAGTCCTCCTGCCTTTGCTACTTACTGGCTCTAGGACTTAGGGAGTTATTTATTTAAGAGCTCCAAGACTCAGTTTTCACTTCTGATAAATAGAAATAAAACACTACAGGGATGCTGTGGGGCATTTGAACACGTTTGATAAATTGTAAACAGCTAGACAAATGTGAGATGTGTTGCCAAATACACCTCTCAGAGTACTTGCCAATCAGAATGAAGACATACTTTTGCAATGGAGAAATCTGGCTGTCCCACCTTAAGCCAGTTATTCAACTTAGCATCGTTAACCCTGGGACAATCAAGTTTTTATGAGGTTCCTGGTGTGCTGCAGTTGTAAAGTATTCAGCATCACTTAATGGTTTTTTTGGTGTGTTTTTTTTTGCTAAAAATGTTCAACCTGAATCCAATCAAACCCTTAGGCCTATCCCCTTCATAGGGGCTGGAGGAACCAGTTAGACATCCTCAAAGAAACAGCAGGAAACAATCAGATAAATCAAGAATGAGAGGCATTCTCTAAGACAACTGGTTTTATAGAAGATAAAATCACAAAGATTAACGAAAATTGATTTCATAAAAAAAGGTTAGGGGGTGACTGTTCTGTTCCAAAAAACTTCAAAGACAACAAAATCTTGAGTGGATTCTGGTTCTGGGATATAAAATAACCAGCTTTTTAGACATTTTTGGGATAATTGGGGAAGTTTGAAAATCGGCTTGTATTAGATGTTAGGCATCTAATGTAATATCGGTATGATGGCTCTGAAGGAAAACATCTTTAAAATTTGAAGAAATGTTTAGGAGTGACCATTGTTAACAGTGTGACATATAGTCTACTATCTTATGGATTTTAAAAATTAAGTAATTTTAATGATGAAATATTTGGACACCTGTACTTACTAGTTTGCTAGGACTGCCGTAACAAAATACCACAAACGGGGTGGCTTAAACAATGGAAATTTATTTTTCTACAATTCAGGGGGCTAGAAGTCTGAGATCAGGTATTGGCAGGGTTGGCTTCTGGCCTCTCTCATTGACTCAGGTGGCTGTTTTCTCTCTGTGTCTTTGCATGGTCTCCTCTCTGTGCCCATGTCCTATCAGATTAGAGCCCACCCACACAAATGATCGTATTTTAACTTAATACCTCTTTAAAGGCCCTGTTTCCAAATACAGTCACATTCTGAGGTTCTGGGGGCTAGTTTCGAGGGACATAATGCAAGCCCTAACATCCACAGAATGCATATATGAAAATTATGAAGCACAATAGTAAAACTAATACTCATTAATGCACCACTCAACATAGTAATGACATTTCCTACATCTTTATGCCAATCCCATTCCATAAAACTCTCAAAGCTAACAACTGTCTTAAATTTATTTTTTAAAAATTTTATTCTCAGTCACTTTACCTTTCAAAGGCTCAGTCTCCTCATCCTGTAGACCAGGAATAGTGTTGTGAGGCCCTCTCCTAAGTGCCCCCTTCTCTTGTCTATTTCCATCTTCATACAGCAGTGATTTTTAAAAGCGTAAATAAGATCATATGTTGTTTTGTACTTTTTCCTTAAAAACTCTGCAAAAGTTTCCCATGCAATGAGAACAGATCCCTTCAAGATCCTATGTGGTCATCCTATCCTGGCCTAGTCCCTTCACTCCAGCAATACTGACCTGCCATGGCCCCTTCAACTCCTCACTCACTCTCATCTCAGGGTCTAGACCATCTTCATTTTGCTTGGGCTCTTCTGAGACCTTTGCAAGGCTGTCCTCTCATTAGTCATGCGCCTGCTTAAATGTCACATGCTCGAGGCCCTTCCTGACCAGTCTGAAGTGCACATCCCTCCATCGCTCAATTCCATTATCCTTTTGTTCTCTTAGCACTTATCACTGTAACTATGCCTCTCAGAATGTAGGTTGCACCACAGCAGGACCTTCCTTTGTCTTTGGCACCACTGTACCTGGAGTAATACTGGACACAAGTGCTTGCCTTATATTGCCAAATTGTCCCTGACCTAGGGTGGTTGTGATAAAACAGTCACAGTGTATTTTGAAATGAGCCTTGCACACACAGGCTAACTTATTACATTAAGGTCTGTCCTCTGAATAATCCTTTTAAGCTGTTTCTTCACAGCGTAACTATTTCATGAACAGGCATTTGTTTGATGCCTGGCAGGTGTCTCTGTGCTGGGTCTTGGGGTACAGCTGTGGACAAGACAGTTCCTGCATTTGTGGAGCTCACATATTAATGCAGTGAATTAATGAACGAACCAATCACTTATGACTGAATATACCTAATGTAAAAATGCATTCCAAAATACTGGACCATACAGATGCCTCACAAGGGCCTTCCTCCAGCTCTGATCCTTATACATTGCTATCAGCCTTGATAATTGCAACCTGAATTGCCTTTTTTTAAATATTACTAGGAGGCAATTGCTTAATTTGTCTACTGAAAATGAAGGCATTAAAGTCCGATCAGGAGAGTTTGGGGATACGTCCTTAAATGCTTGTAGCTTTTCTGCTGATCCTATATGAAGCACAGGTCCAGGGGCAGAAGTCTTTTTGTATCCAGGACACTAGATGTAGAGCTTAACATTTACAGTTTAGATCCCAGCTTTAGCCCTTACTAGCTGGATGGCCTTGCTGATCTAGTTTGGGTACTGTACAATTAATTATAGTTGCCCATCCCATTTCAAAAGGTTGCAGAGAAGACTGAATTAGAAAACGAATGTGTGTTCCTTGTACACTGTAAAAGAGCTGTAAGGTGATATTCTAGACTTGCCTTTGTTCATGGTCAGATGAACAATGACGACAAAAGTTCATGAAAGTTGAATCTTATTAGTAAGGGAGCAGTCAATGAATTATGGCACAGTGGCACACAGTGGGACACTATACATTTAAAAAATGGTAGCTCTCTCCAGTGACACAGAAAAGATGTCCATGATGATGGGAAAATTACAAATGCCTATACTCCTAACTGCCTGCACACACATACAGATCACTTGGGCTTCTGGGGTGGAACCTGAGATCCCTTTCCTTTCCAAATTTTATGCAGACTTCTCTCTGGTTCTTTAGACTGGTACAAAATCTAAGCAATTTAAGATAGTCTATTCACAACTGGCAAAGTACACACAGCACTGCTTACGTAGCTCCCTCCCTTATAGATGTTTCCCAACTTCCAGGTCTGATTTAGGTTAATATTGCTGTGAAGAATGAACGTGGCTAAGTTGGGGAGCTTGGTGAGTCACCCTGAGTAATAAATGATAAGCTCCTTGGAACAGCTTTATGTGCAGTAATAAAAAGCAAAGCAGAGCCTGTTACGAGACCTGTAATCTACTCATAACTGTGTCTCTGCTTCAAAAAGCAAGGGCAAAACAATGGTATGAAGTGATTTTAAGATACTGATTCCTCAGATTAAAGACCTGTTTCCTAAAAACGAACATATTAATTTCTTAAGGATCTCAATATTAATATATGTAAACATACTTGGGCGAGGCAGAAAAGTATAAGGTGCCTTCAGCCTCCCTGCTTCTTTTCACACAATGGACTTCATCACCCTCCAATAGATGGCGGATGGCATCCAGTTCTCTGCATCAAATTTAGTCCTGCCTTGGCCTCCCTAATGACCGCACACACCACGATGGCAGAAAAAGGGGGTGAGAGACCTGAACCTTTTATCTTGAGGATTTTAGAGTAAAAATATACTCAAGTCTGAAATAATTAACATAAATTTACTATAATGAACTAGCAAATTTCCCCCATCTCCTTTAGGGAGATGAATTGTGAGAGTAGCTTAAGGCCAAACTGGGCCACACGAGTCTCTTAAAAAGTCACATATGCCTAGAGATAGATGGCATAGAAAAGATGAACTATAGGGTATCTACTACAATTCATAATCCTATTTTGTAGCTAAAATGGGTAAGTTTTTAAAGGAAAGTTACCATGTAAACATAAGATCTTTCTCTCTCTCCCTTACAACAAAATTAAAAAGGTGAAAACATTAATATCCTTACCAATCTCCAACACCAGTTTGCCAGTGTATCTAAATATGCCAAAAACAAATTAAAAATCATGTTCAGAAATAACAAGAAAGGAGAAACGCAGGCACACATTTTTTCAAGTATACAATTTGTTTTTATTTACAATACCCTATAAAAATGTAAATTTAGAAACTTTAATTTTTATTAATTAAAACCAAACAAAAAAGCACAGAGAGGAAGAAATACTAATCAAGTATCCACTTGATTGGTTATGAAGTGGAAAGGCAGGGAAGGCGCCAGTGGAAATAATCAGTTGATAATGGCAGAGGAAGCTAGTCATGTCACTGGGAACAGCTGGTAGAGCCAGGGCTACAGAATGAGAAGAAATGGAGATGGAGACAAGGACAGCTGGTTATATGGAGGATTTTACTGTTGTACAATACATGTATGTGCAAAATGTTTATTCTCTTTAAACATCATAACCTGTCTCCCCCACTACATTCGAAAAGGTCAGAACAGCAAAAAGTAAATCAGGACAGTCATGTAAAATGAATTCAGATTTTTCTTGAGGGCTGTTATCACTAGGGATCAAAACCCCTTATCCTGGTTGCCTGCTGAATGGGAGAGGGACAAGAGGAAAGGGTCACAGCAGGCTGTCCCTGCTAGGGTTCATTTCCAGGCCCCTGGGATGGGACCTGGGTGAGATGAAACAGCGAGGACAGCAGTTCTGCCCACGCGTGGGGAGTGAAGGACAAAGCAAGCCCGACTTAGCTTCCACGTTTACATTTGGAGGTTTCTATCCCAGACACTGAATAAAAATGGGGGAGAGAAGTAAAAGCATGGCTTACTGAAGTAGTCTCAGGAAGACAAAAGCTACACTGTGGAAGCAGGCTCTAAGTTAGAATCACCTCAGGCAATCTTCCACGCACTAGGGGGACAGGCTCAAGTACACTGTAGTTGTAGCAGGAAAAAGGCTTAACCGTGTGCTGTTTCCACTCAGGTGGACAGAAACAAAGGAAACTCAAGTGGGGAGGAGACAAGGACTTCTCAGTCTAGAGCTGGGCGCCAGCCAGTTAAGAGTTCTGATTTTATTAAATATGCTGGCATACCCTGTATTTGTATTAAAACAAGGGGAACCCACTGAATTAATTATGAGGACTAGAAACAGACCAAGAATACATCAGCTGGTTTGTGTTTAGAAGAGGGATGTGTCAACTGAGTATTTCTCCATCTAAAACTCATTCTTTAAGGAGCCTCTGGAGACCACAGAAACATATGTAGAGGGGTGTGTGTGCACGCATACGTATATTAATTTCTACTTAATTGGCTCTCCTATAGTCATATTAATATGGGGCAATGAAAACGACTTCAGTAAGATGCTGGAAGGGATCCTTTGGCAGACTACAACCTACTCTGAACTGGGAGAGATTATATTTGTGTCTCTAGGGCAAAGAAAATGCAAAATTGAGAAGAGTTGAGTAAAAGTAGGACATGCAGAATTGTAACAGAGAAGGTAAGAGGAAACCAGCAGAAGTATCACCCAGCCAAATATCACAGAGCAGTGGGGAAACGCCTGGCGTTTAGAGACAACCCTTGAGAACAGGAATCGGTCCCACAACACACTCTGGGGAATGAGCTACCTCCCCTCCCTCGTTACAAACACTCCATTGGTGATGGCAGCAGTGCAGGTGACAGCCAAAAGGAGGTACAGGACACATTTGCAGATCTTTTACCGTATCCCCTGAACTAGCCTACAGGTATAAAGAAAGAAAGGAAACTTGTTTGTATAAATGAGTTAAAACAGAAGGCCATGTATTATATCCTTGTAAAAATTCTTGTAACAAAACACCTATGATGTCTCTACCTTAGCATTCAGTCAACTATGAGGGTGCTGCTGCACCCAGTACAGTGTTGATATCTAGTAGATACTCATATACTTGAAAGAGGTCTTTAATCTCTTCCACCAAATTCAGATTTATGCCCCCCGACCTCCTCCTCCTAACTTCTAAAGTGCCAACATTAGTGAGATGTGGAACTCTCTTGTTGCCAACTTACTGCAGCTTTGTCTCCAGCAAGTTCAGTTTCTGTCGGTCAACATAGCGAGAAAAGAGGGATACTAGGTTTGTGGGGATAGAGATTGGCTTGGCCAGGGCTGCCTGGGGAATCTGCAGAAGTTCTCGGGTTGCCATGAACATCACCTGCGTCCTGAAAGGGAAAACCAGTAAAAACAATTGAAGAAAAAGAAAGAAAAAATTACCTAAAAGAACTTAAAAGAAGAAATACAGCACAGACTGACCACTGGTTGTTTTCCGTTGATTCTGTAGCAGGGTCTGAACTCTGTAGATCTTCCCCACGGCTCAGGACGACGAGGAGCAGTGACAGGCCAAACTACAAGAGGAAAGAGGGAATCAAGCTCAGCACTGCATCTCCTTCTCCCCCACCACTGAGGGGAAATAAAAATGACCCCACTGCTGTTCTTCTGTGTGAGACTGGGCAAAGATCAGACAACCATAGCGGACAACCAAAGATCAGGAAACCAACCTGTGCCTTCTCCTTGCACAGCAGCAAAAAGCATCATCAATGGAAATGAAAGTCCCAGTGTCCTATGGTTCTCTCTGCTCCCCCACCCCATCCTGTGATAAAAAGATAATTTTCCTTTCCATGAATAAATGAATTAAAAAGGAAAGTGAAATGAAGACAAACTTTGATACAGAAAATTATAGTTTATGGGAAAAAAACCAAACATTAAATAGAGTAAGATATTTTGAATTAAGAAAAAAGGTGTTAAAACCTGTGGGAAACTGTACAAAGAAAAGTAACTGGGATGATCAGGACACAGAGAGGAGATTTTTGTTAAAAAGGACACACCTATCTGGAAATATAAAGGCTGAGCTGGATGCTAGTAAGTCTGACAAAGAAAGAGAAAGAGGGTAAACAGATGCACTCCCATATCCAGGACTATCACGGTCAGCAGCATGCGCTACAGGCTAAAACACATAATGGTTTGTTTTTAGGGGGAGCAGTAAAAGCAGGAGACGTGCAGTGTAAAGGGGCACAGACAAAAACACAAATAGGGACCAGAAGTGGAGTCAGAGTGATCATGGACCATAAAGAGAAGAGGGGGCATTGTGAGATCCCACCCACCTGAGTTCCCCGCACAGAGGAGAACCCTACCTTCCCGCAGAAGTTCCCTTCATGTCTGAAAACAACACTGGGCTATATAACCCTGTCTGACCTCACAGTTTTCTACTCCTTTTATCAAAATTAGTACCAGGAAACCCAATTACATCGGAGGCACACAACTGATCACTCCAGAACCCTACCTAAAGTCCCCAGAGGCACTGCCGCTGCTCTCCCTTCAGAGTCATGCTCTGACAGGTTTTCAGGTGCAAGGAAAGAGCCTGCTTTTCCACTTTACTGTTTTAGCCCTCTGAACCCACCACATCATGAGAACCATCCATGCGCTGGGCACTACAATAAACTGTTCACAGCTGTTCTCTCATCCTAGGAAAATGCTGAAGTGGAATCACCACCCCCACTTCACAGATCAGGAAACTGACTCAGCAAAGTAAAATAACCTGTTCAGGGTCACAAACCTAGAGAATGGAAGGCAAGGAATGCAAACTTGCTGTCTCAAAGCTCACGCTCCTTCCTCTGTATTATGAGTCCCCTATGAGTCTCTGGATCTCTAACTTGACATAAATGAAACATGGAATGGGATGTTCTTCTATTTACAGTTGTGGAATGAAGACTGTTACTCTCTATTATGCTTCCTCCTCCTATGAGAACTCTTTTATTTGTGATGACAATGGTGTGAGCTAAAAGATGTTTTCCACCCTTCCTTGCAGTCAGGCTGGCATGTGACTAAGACTGGCCATTGGGATTAAGTAGTTGTTAGTTAAAACTCCTGGAAAAGGTCCACATGTTTTAGCCCTCTGCACCCACCTCTTCCTGATGCAAAGTGGAGCCTTGAATTCTACAACCACCATGGACCCGGAGAGGTCATGAGCACAGCAGCCACTGCTACGGATGGCAAAGAAGGCAAACCGAAGGAGCCTGCATCCCTGACCACGCTGTGGAGCCACTAGACCAGATTTACTGACATGAGATACATAAAACTGCATTTTGTTGAAACCACTGTTATTTCTAGTCTGTTACTAAGAGCTCAATGTAACTCCCAACTGAAAGAAACCTTTCTAACAAGTTGCCACGGCCACAGCAGCCATTATTGTTATCTATAACTCAAATTCAGAAGTGCTGCAAAGTTCAGGGGCGAAAAAGGTAAGACTACCTTGTTCTGGAGAACAGCAGTGAGGTGAGGATTAGAGGGTGCTGGTGCAGCTGCACTCTGAGGTAGGTTCATTAGCTGTTGCAGAAGGCTGGTGACAGTCACTGACGGAAGATGATAGAGGAGGAGAGAGAAGGGACTCAATAAGCATGGCAGCACCTACAAAGAAGAAATAAAAGCATTAGATCCTGGCAACCGTTACTTTGGTCACCCTCCATTGGTGGGCATGGATGGAAGGGTGCTCAGCTGTGTACTCAAATGCCTGAGGCGATATTTAACAAAAAAGGGCTGACCAGTCTAGCAGATACTACAGGAGTCTTAACAATGGATTCTAAGGTATCGACTGAGAACTTTCTCAACTCCATTTGCGTAGGAAACATCATGATTTACGTGAACCAAGGGTATAAAATCACTTCTCAAATACAAAAGACTCATGATAAAACATCAGTATTTTAATTTACCCCACAAAGATTTAAATGCATCAGGCACTCAGATTGAAAGTTAAAAGGACAGCCAGACCCTTAGGGATCATAAATATGCAATTTCAATACACTGTGAGAACCTCTTAATATAGGGAAAGTCTGAGTGCTACAGAATTACTGAGAAGTATTTTCAGACTTAATTCTATCTTGGTTTATTCAAAAGCTCAATGAGGAAATGGAGAAATGATTTACCAGTTTTATAGATTATTAGAGAAGCTACATGACCAAGCTCAGTGTTCAGGGTTACAAAGCTAGTAGCTAGAAGCAGAATCCAAGGCTGTTGGATTCTAGCCTGCTAGCCATTCATTCTTTTGGCCATAAGGCCCAGACTGAAAAGTTAGAATACAGAGCTACCAACATAACTAGGTTAAAACACATGAAAGGAAATCAAAAGTGCTTCCAGCACTCAATAATCATGGTATAAAAAAATGATACTTGGTTTTACTTTAAATAGCAGCCAAGGGTGGAGAGTAGGTAACTTTTTGTGATCTACTAATTTATTGTATCATTTCATCTATAAATACTTATTTGTATCTCTAACAAAATCTCTCATGACATTATCGCACCTAACAAAATTTAATTCCTCAATATCATCTAATATCTACTTCAAATTCAAATTTCTCCAATTGTCTCAAAAATATCTTTTAGCAGTTGGTTTATTCTAATCATGGTTCAAATAAGATCCACACATTGACTGCACTTGGTCGGTAAGGCTTTTAAAATCTGTGAACAGGTCCACTGTCACTGTCCATCTCCTTTCCCCATATCATTTATTTGTTGAAAAAACTGGGTCATTTGTCCCATAGCTTGGACCTGGCTAACTGTACCTGTGTGGTATCATTTAACAGAATCCTCTATCTTCCCTTCCCCCCCCATAAAAACTGATAGAATTAGAGGTTTGATTAGATTCAAATTCAACGGGGGTTATAGAGCTGTGTGCTTTCTACTGCATCACATCAAGATGCACATAGCGTCCAGTTGTCCCCCTCTTACTGGTGTAAACAGTGACCAGTGGGTTCAGGTGCTGTCAGCCTGCTCCAACCCCTGTAAAGTTCCCCATCCACCTTTTAGCTAATGCTTTTAGCACCAGTAACGACTGCTACCCAGATTGACTGCCTTTTCCATTGGGGGCTGTAAAATGATTTCCTAATTTTATCATATTTTTGCATTTTGTAGCTGAAATTCTTCTCTAAAGAACTTTCTATTACCAACTCTCTGGTCACCATATTTGGTTGTGATGAGAAGGCAGAATGAATGTCTGATTCTTTTATTTTACTTACCAGTTTTCAGAATAAATTGATGGCTTAGAAATCTCTGAGGGTGACATATTTTTTGGTATCATTATAAACACATGAAATATACCTATTTCAATCCATTGCTGTAATTTTTCTTTAAGATGCAAATAATCCTACTTTTACCAACAGGAGCCCCTTCAAGTTGGTTTGTGCATCTTTTACACAAGACCCCGGTAATCTTTTGGCTTCCTTGCTTTCTGGCACAAGATATTCCAGGATTATCTTGTACATTTTACGCCTCAGTCCTGGAACTAGCTATTACTTCAAGGAAATGGTATTTAGAGAGTGGTCTACTACACATTAATAAATATAGGTAAAAACTTAGCCTCTCTATTTAACCAAGTTTTCCTCACTAGTGGGTAATCTCCACTGAGGCAGGCACCTCTGGATTGCTAGCTGACAGCACTTAGAACTAGGCTCCATATTTCTAGAATCTAAAAAAGTGTCTGGTACACAGAAGTGTTCAGTAAATATTTGCTGAATGAATTAAGTTCTCCCAAACTTGTTTCCACTGATGGGTGCCTCTGAGATTACGATGAGTGTCTGCCTCCTTGCCTACAATTTATATGCTGTAAGGTAGTGATTACTTTTAATCTTGTCTTCTATTTTCTAGGATAAACCTCAAATCCTTAAGCTCTAACCCATTTTTCATTCTTGAACTCTTTAAAAAAATGTACTTGTCTCATCTCAATTCACTTTTTCCAATGATGAGACCTAAACTTCACATTCATTTCTTCTGTAGATGCTTAAAATTTCCAGAAGGTATTTTTTCAACTCATTTCAGAAGGGATAATTTTCAACCCTTTCATGTTACACCACTGATAAAGTATCTTGAGATCGTGTTTCCTGGGGACTATTATCAGATGGTTATTGCTCAACCTGTAGTTTATTCTAATAGCTTCACTATCATTAATTCTATTTTTCTGAATCTCAGTTAATAACACTAGCCCTTTGTGCTATCCTTGGCAATTTATTTGTTTTGAACTTCTAAGACAAAGTTTTGCTCTTTCAAGTGTTATGACAGGAATAAGCAAAGAACAATTCTTACCAACAGTTAACTTGTAAACTTGATATTCATGTTTCAATTTCCAACCTAGTTTAGATCATGATAAAAATTACTTCAAAGCACTGACCTGCTTCCTGTGGGCAGGATGCCATTCAACTCAGTCTAAGGTAAATGTTAAGCTGGTGACAACGCAATGAGTGCTACTTTATATCCAATCAAGTAACCAAGACCGTTAAGTTTGCAAATGCTAGTGAGCATCCTACTCAGCTGGGGACCTTGACAGATCCAGAAGCCCTGATCTCTTCTCTGTAAACTCTGGCTCAGCCTATTTGGGGTAGGGATAAATTATTTGCCTCCCAAGTAATTCGGATACAGGGCTACAGCTTTACAATTATGTTAAATAAGGAAGAACTACTGCCTTCTTCATGTTTAGAAACATGGTGTGTTGGACAAAACATGTAATTAAAAACATAAGCCTGCAGTAAAATTTTGTTTTAAATAATCAAGTCATACTGACAAAGGTTAGGTGAACCAACACAAAAGGAATGGGGAGGAAAAGAAATGTGGGTTCTAGATATCTTATTAACTCTGAAGACCCAAAGGAGAGCCGTCCCTTCCTCCTGTGAGGATCACCTCATCTTGTGCGTCCTTCTTAATAAGGAAAGGGAGGTTCCTGGCCGTTGTCATGAGAATGTCGGCTGCTTGCTCTGTGGAGAGGAAAGGGAGAATGCGGGCAACCATTCTCTTCCCCTTCCGGATACACATGATCTGGACAAAGTGGTCATCACTTGGCCTGCAGGGGAAGAAAAATGCTAACTCAGTTCAGCAAGAACGATATGAAAACCATTTTCCTCTTACATGTTACTAAATGAATATACTACATTTTCACTCTATAATTATATGTACTACAAAATAGTGGGAATTACTTCTCCAACTTTCAACCAAATAATAAAAAGTAATTTTTCAAGTTTCCCAAATGTTTCAAAAACCGTATGTTAAAAAAACTTGGTCAAACTATATGCATTAATTTCCTTTATTAACTTTTCACTAACTACACAAACTTTTCACTAACTACATGGTTTATAGAGCAAAATTTGAAAAATACATAAGCAAAAAGGAAATAAAAGTATTCATAATCTCAGATGTAGTGTTAACATTCTGAAGAATTTTTTTGCTGTGTGTAATATTTTTATCTTTCTGCCCGGCCGGGCGTGGCTCAGCAGTTGAGCGTCGACCTGGGATCCAGGCGATCAGGGTTCGATCCCCGGTCAGGGCACATGCCCGGGTTGTGGGCTTGGTTTGGAGGCCGATCAATGACTCTCTCATCATTGATGTTTCTATTTCTCTCTCTCCCTCTCCCTTCCTCTCTCTGAAGTCAATAAAGATATGTTAAAAAAAAAAAAAAAAAAAATTTATCTTTCTGTGGGTCCACAGAATTCACATGGCTTTGTTACTTCACTTTTCCACATCAATAAGTAAACTTCAACTACATACGTTTTAATGGCTGGGTAACATTCCAATCCATGGATAAACCCACATTTACCCAACCACTTCCCTGTCAGCCCAACTCCAGAAAAGAAGGGGCTTATTCTTATGTTCTGTTTGGCGTATGTCCTGGCCTACACAGTCCTCTTGCATTCATCAAATAAATATTTGGGATTTAGAGAACATTTATCTTTAGCAATATTCTGTTCCAGATACTGGGTGGGAGAGAGATGATAGAGATACAGAAAAAAAGATATATTAAGGAGTTTAGTTTCCACTGGAAGACTGACTGGCTGCCATAGTGTATGAGTACTCTATGAAAATCCCAAGGAAGTTTAAATGTTTCTACTTTTCAGCTTGGTAGGAAAGAAAATACATAAAGATTACAAGGTTGAACATGCTAGTAAGCATAACCCAGGTACAATCTGTAAACTCATATACAGTAACTAAATAATATTCCCCACTCTCTCTCCAGCACCCAGCACAGTCCCTAGTAGATACTAAATAACTATTTGTTGAATAAAATGAATTCAGGATAAAGAGATTTTTCTCTGGCTGGGAAGGATTACAAAATGTTTTATATGAAGTGGCATTTGAGTTAGGCCAAAAGGACAGACTTGGAGCTCACAGAGATGGAAGGGAGCATATCTGAAACGTAGAAATGTACCAAGTTCAGCTTAGCAGAGCAGGGAGTCCAGCTAGTCTCATGTTTTCCTCAAAGTGCATAATTCTTACCTCTCTTGTCCAGGTAATTTCCCCCTTAAGTTGTCATACATGCTACAAATTTTGTGCTTTCTTTCATCCATCAGGGCAGGTCGCTCTTCTTCTAGACTTAAGAGGTAACGCCTTTCATAATCCTCTACATCCAGGAGCAAACTGTAGGTCTAAGTGAGGATCAGAGTATTAGATAACCCACCTCACAGTTTAGGACTAGCAGATAAACACCTAGACATAGAAGATCACTGCAATAAAACTGACAGAACGGTGGTCTTCGAAGTCCAGAAAAACATTCATCCTCTTTGACTTCTACTCCAGAAGGTAATGATGGTAAAACGATTACACACTTTCTAAAATTACCAGCAGCAGCAAGAGCTCTGTAATAAAACCACCTGTATCACTGCTGCAAGCTATGCCTTACATTAATAAAAAGGTAATCATTTTACTAGTGGGCGCCAGACACTGTTCTAAGCACTTTGCATGTATGTACTCATTCACCAAATACTCGCTACAGCCTAGTGAGAAAGAGACTATTATCATCTCCATTTTACAGATGAAGAAATTGAGGACTGCACAGAAAGGTTAAATAACTGGCCTCAAGTCTCAGACTCAGTTAAAAGTGAAAAAGGCATGATTTGCAGCCTGGTTCCAGAGTCTGGGCTCTTAACCACTACACTCTGTGGCCTTGCAACAGTATTTACGCTTCACAAAGTAACTGCCAATGTATGTGTTACCTTGTTTTTCTTAGCACCCAGCACAGTGCCCAGCACCCAGGGAGTGTCCAATAAACAGATGTGAACTCATTCAATTGATTAAATCAATTCATAGGTGGAATTGTGACCTAAGTGCAGTGCTCTTTCCATGAGGCCCCAGGTGAGGTACACCACATTCCTTTCTCGTGTGCTCAGTACATAACAGGCACTTAACAAGAATATATCCATTAATTAAAATTACGGAACACTGATCACTTTCTTTCCCACTTCTTGTGTACACATACATTTGACAGTTCCTTATTTGAAAGCATAGCAACAAATTCTGAAACTTACTTTCTCAATTATGACAAGGGTTTTTCGTCTCTTGTCCCGAACCTGTTTTTCTTTTGTTTCCTAAAAAAGGACAAGACTATTCAATTTGTACTCTTTACCTCTGTTAAAAATAAGTTTCTATGTGTGCATATGTTAAGTTCCATTTGTAACAATACTTTGGGAAGACAATCTTGACTCTTTGAAAATTAATAATCTAAAAACACTGATGTGGACAAAGGTCACAGTTGATTGAATCAATCCACACACAAACCATTAAAATGAATTCACAGATAGGCAAAAGGTAATTGTAGAATGCAGAAGATGAAGATATCACAGAAAAATCTTAAAACACATAGAAAATGATAATTTAAAAACTGGAGCCCTGCCGGCGTGGCTCAGCGGTTGAGCATCAATCTATGATCCAGGAGATCGAGGTTTGATTCCAGTCAGGACACATGCCCAGGTTGCTGGCTCAATCCCTAGCAGGGGGCATGCAGGAGGCAGCCAATCAATAACTCTTTCATCGCTGATGTTTCTCTCTCTCTCTCCTTCTCCCTCTCCTTTCCTCTCTCTCTGAAATCAATAAAAGTATATTTTAAAAAAAACAACCCCAAAACAAAAACATGGAGAAAATAGCTGATGCTGTTTGCTGCCAGTTACCCAGTGGAAAGATTCCTGCCACCCCAGGTCCTGCCTGGCTGCCTTAGAGATGAAGGCAGAATCTCAGCACAGCTGAAGAAAATCAGAATGCCATGACAGGCCAGGCGAGGGTAGACTGTAAACAACTCCATCATGCCTCATTCCATTCCACAGCGACCCCAAGAGTAGTAGTGATGACCCAAAATTTCTTAAACACACAGTTCTGCTGACACTTACATCGTCCTCACTCCGAGATGTCACAACAGCATCAATCATTTTCCGGGGATTATTCACACTAGAGACGGTAAGCTTTCCCAAAGAGCCCTCAAACTGCACTGCAAGGACAAAACATTTCCAACAAAAAGTCAGCTGTGCAGGCAGGCGGCTTTCTGAGATCTTTATACTCTCTATTCTTTATTCATAGAGTAACAATTTACTACAAAAATCTATGTATTATCTAAAGCAATCTCATATCAAAATTTGCCCTTTCCCATTTTTTATTGCAATAATAATCAAATAAAGATCTGAAGTGTTCCTCCCTTATCTATTTCATCGATATCAGAAATTAAAACAGGTATTAAAAAGTCATGGAATCTCAAGTAGAAAAGGACCTAAAAGGTCACCCACCATACCACTCATTCCACACCTGAATAAAGGCCGATCTCTGTGTTTATTAAGGACAATGGTGCTTCATTAATTAGTTTTAAACATCTCTATCCAATCACCTATATAGTTATTTATATTTTATCATATCAGCAGCCTGTCAAATTCCTCTTATTACAGGTGTGGGGATAATGGCTTACCTGGCTTATAGGCATGCTCCAGTTTGGCCACCTGAGGGGTAATGAGCTTGGTGCGCTCCTTTTTAGGGCCATCACCTTGCAATTCTTCAGCAGCTGACAGTTTCTCCAGTTTTTCAAAGTAATTCTGCCACATGAGAAGATAATTTCAGTTGCAACACAAGCACAGAATATGACAGCTCTTTACCATTAAATAATTATACTGGTGGCTGTAACAACTTGCCATCTGTAAATGTATTGATCTCTAATTTTTGTTAGACCATAAATTTCCTTTATCAAAAAATCCCAGCCTTCAAAGAAGTTAATTATTGATAGAAATATCTTTAAAGTTAGACTGCCAATATTCTCTTTTTTTTCCTTAAAGATTTTTTAAATTGATTTTTTAGAGAGAGAAAGGGAGAGAGAGGGAGAGAGAAAAGCATTGAGGTGAGAGCAATATATTGATCAGCTGCCTCCTGCACACCCCCTACCAGGGTTTGAACTCGCAACCTAGGCATGTGTCCTGACGGGGAATCAGACCTGCAACCTTTTGGTTCATGGGATGATGCCAACCAACTGAGCCACATCAGCCAGGGCAGAATGCCAATATTCTTAATTGAAAGAACCAGATTACTGATGCCAAAGGGATCTGAAAACACTGGTCTGAGCGCCTGTGTGTGTGAAAAATAAAAAGCATCTGTGCAAACCTTGTAGTGAACAGTGAGAGGCTGTCCAGCTTATAGAGGACAGAATTTGTGCAGTCATTCTTACTATGTGAAGACTACTTCAAAAGAAAACTATCAACACTCAACTCTACTAATATATTTGAAGGAGAGCCTTCACTAGAGGAAAGGACTGAACTGTGATCCTCAAACCTAGCATAGAGTACTTACCTGGTAATAGAAATCATCCAGGTAGGGATCAGTGCTCTGCAGTTGCATCATCTGGATTTTGGATACCCAGTCCTTTTCTCGCTGCAACATGAGATTGGCATAGGGATCCTTCCGGAGATGATCTTGGTGGCTGCTCCGGTGACTTGCTCTATCTCCTGCACCATTGAGATTCCGATGCTGACTGAAAAACAAACATATGCCACATTCACTTAAAGTGGGTACATTAATTATGCCTTATAATAATACAAGAATAAACCAGGCCCCTTAAAAAGATTCCCCTTTGCTTTTGTTAAAAGAGAAGTGAAAAAGAGGTGAATCTTTACAAAATTTGAGGGGAAAGACCTATGTAGTACACAATTAAGGAAATAAAACTAGGTCTGACTTCCTTACCAGATGCTAAGCATGTTCACCTATGGATATTTGTATAAACCCTACAATAACCCTATGAGGTAGGTTTATTTTCCCCGTTTAAGACAACAAACCAAGGCTGAAAGAGATCAGGTAATTAATCCAAAGCCACACAACTGGTCACACGACTTTGGTATGTATTGGTCAGAGTATGAAATTTGAGCACAGGCCAATTTGATTCCTAGTTTATAGACTTTTTAAAAACTTGTTGAAAATCATGGAATACTTCAAATGCAGAGAAAAGACTAGCAAAAACTATGATAAACATACATTTTCCTTCTACCCAGACATAGTGAAAAAAATCTATTTTGCCAAATTAGCCTTGGATTTTTAAAAAGTAATATTAAGTGTTATATTTAAGGCTGAAGGCCCTCTTGTACTTCTCTAGATGGATGCCAGTTTCTAGCTTCCCTTCCTTCCTAGAGGAACAACTTTGGTATGTATCCTCCCCGAAATGTTTTTATACATTTTTCTTCTTTTTTTTTTTTTTTAAATTGTTGACAGTATTACAGATGTCCCCCATTTCCCGTTTGCTCCCCTCCAGCCAGCCCCTACCCCACCCCAGGCATTCATAGCACTATTGTCTGTGTCCATGGGTTATATACATATGCATTATCAGTTCTTTGGTTACTTGTGTGTCCATCTTTAAATTTTATACAGTGTTATTTTGTGTGCCTTTCAGTTTTATATAAATGGTCTCCTTGTTTCTTACTCAACACTGTGCTTTTCATATTTATATCCAGGTTGATAATATACCCAGGTATGTACTAAAAAGTAGAACTGCTGCCCTGGCTGGTGTGGCTCAGTGATTAGTGTCGGCCTGCAAACAGAAGCATCTCCGGTTTGATTCCTGGAGAACATGTACCTGGGTTGAGGGTTTGCTCCCCACCTCTAGTTTGGGGCACACATGGGAGGCAACCCCATCGATGGGGTTACATCGATGTTTCTCTCCCTCTCTCCCTCTCCCTCTCTCTCTCTCTCCCCTCTTCCCCTGACTCCCTCCCTCCCTTCTACTGTCTCTGAAAAGCAATGGCAAAAATATCCTAGGATGAGAATTAACAATAAATAAATGAATAAATAAAAAAAAAGTGAAACTGCTAAGATATGGTATATTCACATTTTCAACCTTATTATTTATTGCCAAAGTCTCTTAAGAGGCTGTACACTCCATTCTTGCCAACAATGACTATGATGAAATGCTTCAAGTTTTGCCTATCTGGTGATATAAAATGGTTATCTAATTTTAATCTCCATTTTTCTATTACAAGTGAGCTTTCTGAGACTCTTTTCATTTTTATGAGCCACGTAGGTTCTACTGGGAACTGCGTATTTGTGTATGATGCCTTTTGTTATACAGAACAGTTATCATGAGATCTACCCTCTTAACAAACTCTGAAGTGTACAGTCCCATGTTGCTAATGATAGGCATTAGATTTTTAATATGGTATTTTTAAAATTAATATTTTAAGAGCCCATACTGTTTTTTTCCTGCAAACAATATTCCAGAGCTTCTTTGCAAGTGAGAAGAGATTAAACACTGAGAACAACACAACTGAAGGTTGAAGAAACCTCAAAGTTCTGTTTAATTTTCTTATTTTATATATATGAATGATTATAGCATAAGTTCCACTAAGGCAGGGTTTTATATACCATTCTTTCAATCCCCAAACCTACTACAGTGCCTGGTATACAGCTGGGGTCACATATATCAATATATGTTTGCATTTGTTGCATTAGGATTAAAAAATTACAGCTAAAATTAAAGATGACTGTTGGCTTTACATACGACCTAAATGTAAGGCTAGCCACCATAGTCCAAGATTCCTTCAGGGCTGAGATGGTAGACAAAAGGTAGTTAAGAGTATGGTAAGAACTTGGTAAGGAGTATAAAATGTTGGCTAAAAAACCCCACAAAAAACCCACATCTAAACTGTATTTCTGATTTATGATCAACAGAATTATAGTAACTTGGAAATTAGCTGACAAAATCTTGTCATTAAAGCTAGTGTATCAAAAACATAAAATGACAGCTTATATGTTCTGACTTTACCAGTAAAATAAACTCAATACTAATTAAATTTACTAAAAAAGTAAACTAAATTAGTAGCACCTTGTTATACTGTCAAAATGAACATCTGAATCAAGAAACTGCAGAGGAGGAGGGTGAGCACTTACTTTCTGTTCTGCTGCTGTCTCTGATGCAGAAGTCGACGGTGCTGGGGATGAAGGTGAGTGGTGTCTGCTCTAAACATTGGGGCCTGAGATCTAAGAAAAAAGGGAAAAGGTTTTCAATTCTGTTGTCCTGATGTTTTCAAGAATGTTGTCAGTACAAGATAACTTCATACAGGTCCATCCAAGGGAATTTTAAGTCTATTCTAAGGAGATCCTTTAGAAGAAAAAGATAGCCGTATGTTCTTATGTCTTCCACAAAGGCCAATTCTCAACTCCTGAGCAGACGATCATAAATTTCAGGGAGCTAACATTAAGGCAGTTTAATTCTTTTTCTTTTGGCTCCTGTTAAACAGAAGCCTCCAAATAGTTAATGTACTTAGGTACAACGACTTGGCATGACACTGAAACTAGTATGTGTGTTTGTAAAATGAATATAAAGTGAGACATAAACTTTAGAAGAAATAAAGAGGTGATTAACTAGTAATGTGCAAATGTACATAGGAAGCATGTGACTTGGGGGAAATGAGACTCATGAGGCCTCCATATTAAAACACTAAACGTCAACAGGAAACTCAGCCAACAATGAATAAACGAACAGCAGCATTCGTTGTGTATACCGTAAGTTTTGCAGGTGAGGTCCTGCGCCAGGGGGGTGCTGCTGTGGAGGAGGCGGTGTAGCAGGGGGTGGAGCACTAAAGAAGGCACGGAAGCCTGGTGCTGGGGGAAGCATCTGCCCAACTCGCCCTTGCAGCAGCTTGGGATTCATGGCAGCAAGAGGACTACCAACAAATCCAGGGACCCGTGCAAACTGGCTGGGAGACATCCGTCCAGGCTGTAGCTGCAGAGGAACAAAATCTTAGATTTAGTTAGGCAAGTCCCCTTGCTTTTACCCACAGAAAAGTTAATACTGTTTCCATCAGTAACTTTGTTTGAAAAGGTAATGGAAAAAAAAGGAGGCAGTAGTGATTGACCAAAGAGCAAAAAAAGGGTATCATGTAGGAAACCTTAGGAAAGTAAGAGAGCTCTTTATGGGTCAGGCTATTCAAGGCTTACCTGTGCTCCTCCAAGAAGCTGTGCTCTCTGGAGGGGGCTGAGAACAGGAGGAACACTAGGAGGGAAAGGGTGACCCAGTAAGGAAGAGTTCTAGAGAAAAAAAAAGAAAAAAATTATACTCATATTATGAAACAGGTAAACCAATATAATAAGGGAACTCAATAGAGATCCAGAAGAAACTTGAATATAAAAACTCTTAAATTATACAGTCATGCTGTACACTGAAGAAATGTAAAAGAGAATAATTATGAAATTATGAAGTACTATGATCATGTAACATGAAAAAGTAGAACGAGGGACAGAGATAGCAGGAAACCAGGTGATCACTCTGAGTTTAGATTTTTAAAGATAAGAACTGAAGTAAGAAACAACTGAACATAATGAACCATGTCTTCTGAACAGGGTACCAGAAGATCCAGAAATTCAAGTAGGGAGATAGAAAAAATATGTATAATTTAGGAGAAGACTATATACTCGTATAGTGATTATATAGGTAGTGATCAGAAAACACAGACTGCATTTTCATTAGGTTGTACAGTGACATACCGGGACATTGCAGAGCTGGTTTGGAGACATCCTCTCACCATAGGGAGCAGGATAACGTGGTGGCATTGGGGGCCGAACATGGACAGGCTTCGGACACAGAATCTATCAGGACAAACATATAAACAACTACACTCAGTGAAGTCAGTTTTTCCTCCACCTACAGTCCCTCCCCTCTAGCACTGGTAGAGACACAGTTCTCAATGCAAAGCCCTACTTCTAAGCAAATTGCTAAGGCTATGGGTTCACATACAGAACCTTTGGTCACTTCCTCTCACAAACATCAAGCAACAGTGCCACTTTTAACTGAGGAAGATTTAGCTAATTCTCCAGTTATCCCACCCTTCCATGCTATCTGAGGGAGGTACCAGCAGATATTCAAACTTGCAAATTCTCTCCAAGAGGATATATTTTGGAGCAGTGAGGGAGAAGGAATGATAAGAAAGCTGGAGGATTAACTAAGTCCTATTCTAAGCCCCTGTGATATGGCCGCCATGCTTAGCTCTTTTGTGATACATGTGACTCCACCATTTCATGGGATATTGAGCCTAACTAGGCCATACCAACACCACCCTCCCCCCATACCTTCCAAATTGGCCTTCCTTTTCAGCTGCTCGTTTCAGGTGGAGGAAAGTCTATGGAACAGGACTGCACAGGCTCTAGGGAAAGCAGGGATATCTTAAAGGTAAAAAGGGATGTGGACAATGCTGTGTGTTCCCGCTCCCCCCAGCTTTCAGTTACCTCTCTGCTAATGTTTTGGGCAGCCAGCAAAACCCTTTAAAAAGGATATATACACTAAATGTGGCTAACTACCCTTTTTTTCCCCATTTAAAAAGCAGCAGCAACAGGAGCAGCACCAGCGAGGGGCATTAGGGAATGTGTCTCTTATTGGTACTAACTTCTCCTCTAATTGGCTATTTTTCTTTCTAATCTAATGCCTACCCAAAACATCCACCCTCCTCCCGGCATCACCAATTTCCCAAATAGTTTTGCCCAGATTCCCAATATCCTGGGCTGAGTGCCTGTTAATGAGAGGTACCTGTTGGTTGAAGCTGGGTACAGCCATCTGCTTAGGTGGGGTGCCTATGGGGACAGCTCTAACAGGAGGACTCCCAATGATTGGTGAAGTTGACCGCCTTGGTAATGCACGCTCGGAAGGGTCTCGATCATCTTCTGGGCCTTGTGGGGGCCTCTGAGGCAAGGCATATTCTAATACAGACACTGTAGGCATTTCCTAATCATGGAAGTAGTAAAAAAAAAAAAAAAAAAAATTAGCTAACTTGAAATGTTTTAATAATCTCTACAGATGTCAAAATATCTCAAGAAAATTTTTAAATTTTATTTTTACTACATATCCAGTAAAATTTACCCTCTTTGGTGTACAGTTCTCTGAGTTTTAATGAATGCAGAGTCATGAATCTACCACCACAATTGAGATATCACTCCTCAAACTTCCTCCATACTTTGGCTTTGTAGTCAACCCCCACCCCCACCCCCAAGCACTGGCAAACACTGATCTGTTCTCCAGCCTTATAGCTCTGCCTAGAAAAGACTTTTTAAGTAACTCAGATTGTAAGCTGACAAATCTGAGTAAGAATGGCATCCGTTCAACCCTTTCAAAGAAAAGCACAGTCAAGTGAGCACTTCCATGGAGGCTGAGGAAGGGTACAATCAAGTGGTACAACTATGAGTGCTGGATGGAGTAATCAATGTAAGACATGATATCCAATTACATGTTTCTGCAAGGAAAGGATGACAACAGGGGCCAGCTTGAAATTTTCACATATTAGGAATTTTATATAAAGAGAAAATGTTTAATACCTGAGCAAGCAGTGGTCCTCGGATTCGCCTCAGAACTTCAGATCCATCCCAGATGCTGGAATTGAGACTTCCTGGTTGGGGCTAACAAAAAAGGAAAACACACCAAGTCTGGAACAGTGTGGGCTCTCTGCAAGATATATCTGCTTTTAGCGAACAGGGTTCTAAAGAGCCTCAACTGCTTGAGAATAAGAAATTATAGGGTTCAAGAGTATACATCATCCCCCAACTTCATCTCTAGATCTGTCACCAGGAATTACATTAACAATTTTCAATAGCATGGCATATATAATTCTCTCATTATAGTACATGAAATAAAATGGCAAAGCTCAATATTTCACTTTAATTATTAGTCTGCTACTGTGCTCAAATCAGAGTAACTTACTCACTTGCAAAACTGGCCTGGTCTGCACTGCCCTCATGATGGCTGGATCTTCAAGTTCATTTTCAATCACCATCTTACTGAGCCTTTCTGCCAGATTTTCCTCATGGTCACCCAACAAGTCCATCTCATCCCTTTCTCCATTGCCTGTTTGTTCATTAACTGCTACCGGTAGCTTCTCTTCCAATTCAGCCAGTCGCTCATGTGCTTCTTGCCAATCATCATCTATAAAGAAATCATAAAAAATAAATATTGGCTCTAAAAAAGTTTTATAAAATTCTGTTAACCAAGTGAATAATTCCAACTCCAGAGGATAGCTGGAAAGTTAAATTTCCACTTAGAGACAGGAAATAAAGTTTAAACTAAGTAGCATAATAAAGTGGGCTTTTCACCTTTAAGAATAAGTAACACATACCAAGCATTTAGAGTAATAGCTTAATAACATTATCAATGGTGTCCAAACTATATTCTGAAACCAATTTTGAAAGTGTTGGTCTTGAATTTCTAACATTTCAGGCAACAAATTTAAAGTTACAACTCACTGCACTAGCATATAGCTTTCTCTTATATTATAACTGCCATCTTTACAAGCTTTTGAATTTATTCATTTCATTCAATTAATATTTGTTGAGCATCTATTATGTGACAAGCACTGTTTTAGGTACATAGGAAACATAAGTGTACAAAACAGACAAGGATCCCTGCCCTCCTGTAGTTTTCTTTCAAGCAAGAGATAGAAAACAGACAAACATAATGAATAAGTAAATTAGAAACTATATTAGAAGATGAAATGCTACAGGAATATGGAAGGAGAGAGGCAGGCTGAAAACTTTAAATGGGATGATGAGAGGGTAACATCTGAGTAAAAGATTCAAGAGTAAAAGAACCAGTCATGTGGATATCTGGAAATGTTCCAGGCAGAGGAAGTCAGTGTAAAGGCCTTAAGATGAGAGACTGATGATTTTGAGAAACAGAAAGAACTGTGTTTGGACTGGAATAATCAAGGGAGGAGATGAAAGAAAATGAGGTCAAAGAGGCAGTAGGAGGGAGCTCCTTCAGGGCCTCTTGGACCACTCTGACTGAAAGAAGGGGTCATTGGAGGTTTGATGTGGCTTGACTTTTTGAGAGAATCACTCTGGCTGTGGTGTTGAAAGCAGACTGGGGGAAGGAGGCAGCAACACTGGAAGCATGGAGGACTGCCACATGGCTACTGCAATACACCAGGGCAAAGGTGATGGGTCAGTTCCTCTTCTATTCTGACTATGTCTTTGCTATTCCTGCACACTACTATACAGTCTGTAGCACTGGCACTAGGTTGCGGTTTCGTTTTTTTATGCTGACACAGGATTATTTTTGAGTCCTGCTATAGCACAGATGAGCATCTTCGGAACCACCATCACTTCTCTCATTCCAGTGCTCCTCAATCTCATCATTACATTCTGCTTCCACCATAAAAGTTCTACTCACTATTTTGCTCCTCTCAGAACTCAAATTCAGATACCTTTCCCTCTTCACTGAGCCTTTCCCTAAATAACCTTTTCATTTTAATTCCACCTTCACCTCATCTAAACACACACTACTTTCTATTCCACAAACACCCATGTATTCTTTTGTATATGTTATATATTTTATTTTGATTTTAGTTTTGTTTTCTATGTCCAATACAATTCAACAGAGGGATAACAGGTAATTCCCTTTATAACTAACACAAAAACAAAGAATTCTCAAAAAGTGTCCTTAATGACAATTCTTCCCATATAATTTTCCCATATACCTCATTAGAAAAAGACGGAAAAATGGAAGGCATCATGACAAGAAAAAAAAAAGGTGTCTGATATGTAGGCACATGTAATAGACGGTAACCACTTAACTTGTTAAAATTATCTTTATTCTTTCTTCTTACAAAGAAAATACATGTTAAATCACACAAATATGTAACTTAGAAAGTAAGAGTTTCCCATAACTTAACAGGTATGTTAAAATTTTCATATTGCAAACTATAAAGTTTAACTTGTTTCTTTTTTACTTAAGCAGTACGGCTTGGACATCTTTTCATGTGTGTGCGCACACACACAACTACTGATAGTATTATCTTATTCTTTTTAATACCTATGTAAGATTCTACCCTGCTGATAAACTAAAATTAATTTAACTTATCCCCTACTGACAGAGCTTTAGATTATTTGCAAATTCTCAATATATCTTAACATCTTAGGCAAATATTTAAGTAGGCTAAGTCCCTTTCGGGGGTCAGATTATAAACACTTACAATCTGCTATTTTTACTACATAACAATGTATCACTTAACACTACTGGTCCAAAAAGTAAGGGAAGTGGCACTTCTTTAAATTTATAATTTGGTATGATGACAACCACTGTCTAGACTTTGGGCACTGAATTAGATTTAAAAGTACTACTTATGGTAAAGAGGAAAATCTACTTTAGATGAATTAAGAGTATTAATTTAAATAATCAGTTATCTTCAAAAATATTCTTAAAAGAACAAGTGTAACTAAAAATCAATTTGACATTAATATTTGTATCATCTTTGCTAAGGAAGAGTAAACTGAGAAAGCTTTTAAAGGACAATTTTTTGCAATTTTATTCAGCAACGCCAAAAAAATGGTAGTCTACAATGTCAAATAAGGAATGTTTTTACATTTTTCTTTTTTAAAAAATATATCTTTATTGATTTCAGAGAGAGGAAGGGAGAGGAAGAGAGAAACATCAATGATGAGAGAGTCATTGATCGGCTGCTTCCTGCACGCCCCTGACTGGGGATTGAGCCCGCAACCCGGGCATATGCCCTGACTGGGAATCAAACTGTGATCTCCTGGATCATACATAGGTCGATGCTCAACTGCTGAGCCACGCCTGGCCAAGCTTTACATTTATTTTCCAAATTTAATAAGTTAATTTGTTAATGGATCGATTCTAATGCAGCAGAGTTCTAATCTGCATTGTTTTCATTCACTGCTTCCATGCCTATCTTTACTAACTTTACCAGATCCTACCAAAAATGAATAGTCTGTTTGTCCTTAATAATTACACTTTAAAAAAACCACTGGTTAAATAGCCAATATTCTGTGAGAATGGCTGTTGTGAATTGGTACTTTTTCATACATGTAAGTAAAGGAATCTATGCCATAAATACTATCATCATTCAGGTTTTACTTACTTTTGTGAAAAATCATCTGAAGCAATGTCAGAGATGGCGGGCCTTTACTGTAAGAGGATACTTCACTCTGTACCTTTTTCTAATGACCTAAACATATAGTTACTTACATACGCCAATGCTGGACCTCAATCCACATTGTTAAAAATGATAAACAGTAGGCAAAAGAATGAGGGAAAGAGATACCTGTTTTTCTTCAACTCATTAACTTCTAACCTGATATGGGTTAGTGAATTAGGAAAGTAGTAAAGTTAGTAAAGATAGGCATCGAAGCAGTGAATGAAAACAATGCAAATTAGAACTCTGATGGCTCCCATACTTATACTTGCAATAATTCCCCTGAAGTCTGTCTCAGGGATATTTTAAAATAAAAACAAAATGATAAGGAAGTAGAGATGATTTAATTTTAAGGCAATCTCAGTCCCTAAAGATTATAGCAGCTAGCAATAAAAGTAGGAAGAACAGGAGGGAGGGTCCTTCCACGTGGAGGTAAGAGAGTCCCAAAGATTCCCCCCCAAACTGCTTTAACGGGTGGTTTACACTGATTTCATTTATAGTTACTTAACCTCTCTGTCACTTTCCTTCCTCATTTGCTAAAATGAGGACAATGATAGCACCTACCTCACAAGGTTGCTGTGAGGACTATATATAAAACATTTAGAATGGTGTCCAAGATGCTTACATCTTGGAAAGATAAGACTTTTAGAGAATAAGTTGAAATTACTGTGGCCCAATTATTGCTGTAAGATGCTGCAAACATTTTCATGCAGAAGACAGTGACTAGTTTCTTAAGGAAAGGTGACATGAGAGTGTTTCTAGCTAGTGACTTAAAATAATTACTGTGCTAACAGGTTTCATTCAAGACACTCCTTGAATTAGAAACCATCAAACCAAACATATGTCAAAGGCCTGACATTTTATCTCCTGGTTTAAATTCTCTACACCAGCCATGTATCTACTTGTAGAGATGTATTAAGCAGTTCACAGGTGGACTTAAAAAGCAATTTCCCATTTGTAAATCCTTATAGTATTTAGATCAAGATATTATGGGGGGGAAAAAGATGTTATGAGGAATTAAGATTTTAATTTTACAATTCAAGTACATTATATTCAATGGAAAGGGTTTGTGTTTAGAAATCTTTTTCTCCATTATAAACTTTGTTGACCAAGAAATCCTTCTTAATCATCCCTTATGCCCCACAGTACAAAGTGGGCAACCAAATGCTATTTCACTGCCTTTGCTTTTTACTACCTGTTGTTTTCTGTGCAACCCCAGGGGCTTTCTCATTGTGTGTGTACTTTTCTTTCCATTATATAAAATATAGTTCTGAATCTCCAGCATTCTTTTAAGGCAATATTTTCCCCATCTTGTGAAGAACGTAGGAACTCAGAAGACTATCCACAGTATTCTGGAAGTCAATGAGAAGGGAAGACTATTCCTCATCTGTCCAGGTTCAAAACTGAGGACATATTACTATGCTGCCTCATCTTAATATAATATCTATAAATCAATTCCATCAATTCATTTTAATATTGAGGAATTTGCTTAAAAATGGTAAGATTCAGTACAATATTTTAAAAGAAAAAGATTTCCAGAAACAAGCACACAATGTTTGTAGCTTCTATTGTATTCTATATATTATTAGTAAATTAACTTCAAATACAATTTGCAATTCACGCCAGTTCCCTGTCTTTGTAATTCTATTCTATTGCTTTTGCCTGTGATCTCCTTGGAGCGAGAACAACATCTTAGATTATGTCATCCTCTTGGAAGATCTCATCTCCTAAACTATGGCTATAATCCAAAAGGTCTTTGGTTCCCTTCTGTAGTGAGTCTATCCTTCTACCTTAAACACTTCTTTTGCTGCTCCTAATAGTGGAGCTCTCTACTGAATTTTGTAAACCCTAACTGATAATATACTCTTTCATTTTTGCCAATTCATTCAACTCAGTCTAAGCTTTAATAAATTTAAGCTGTTTAGGTTACAGCAAAACCAGTAACCATTATAACACTTTTAAGACCTCTTATTTGTTTTTGATAGTCAACACCTTGGCCCTACCTACTACTGTTAAATTACCTCTTCTTATTACTTAACTTTGAATATTTGCTGCATAGACAGAAGTGCTTGATTCCAAAGAAATCACACATATTTACATATCCCAGCAAAAACAGAGCAAAAATACTTGCACTGAGTCTTACCTATTCACTTTTTAAAATGTACAGTTTAATTTTAACTTAATAGTGTACTTGTCCTAGGCTCTCTAATTTTAAACTTTATCATATATGTCTGCTCTCTAAATTCCCCATCTCAGTAACCATAGTTCTGTGGCCTCTAAAAATAGGTTGGCTCTTTAACTTTTTATAACCTTTGCCAACTCCTAGGATATTTATCTATATCCAAGGATGGGAAAATTTCATCTTGTTTCTAACCTATGAAGACTTTCCATCACCAAAATTCTTTGAATAAAAGGATTATTTTATTGAAGATACTATGAGATAATAGCAGGGTCATGTAATATATAGTACTGATCAACTGAATTTTAAAACATACATATCCGAATCTGAGTTTTCTCCTAGTCCACTAGTTTTCCTTAAGTTACATGTTCCACAAATAAAAATTCCCCTCTTCTAGGATTATTTTATTTTATTTATTTATTTATTTATTTAATTTTAAAAATACATCTTTATTGATTTCAGAGAGAGGAAAGGAGAGGGAGAGAGAGATAGAAACATCAATGATTAGAGAGTCATTGATCGGCTGCAGCCCACAACCCGGGCATGTACCCTGACCGGGAATCGAACTCTGATTGCCTGGATCCTAGGTTGATGCTTAACCACTGAGCCACGCCCGGCCGGGCTTCTAGGATTATTTTAAATCTTTATTCTACTTCTCTAACCATTTGAATTCCTTATAGTGTCAACCTAGAGCAAAAGATCATATAGCCGGAAGGGACAGGGCTTAAAGAACATCTGGTTTTAAAAGTGAGTCAAAAAGAGGCCCAGAGGAGAAGAGTAGATGCTTCCAGTCAAGACTAGATTATTCTAAGACCAAGATGGAATGTTTTGCTAAATTAGTGACTGAGGTTACTCCTGCTAAGACTTACAAAGTACTTATAAAAGAGCATTTGAAAACAGCAAGAGATCAAGATGATATAAGACAAAGATATCACTTACCAACTGCACCTGACCCAAAAGTATCATCATTGAATTGATCAATCTCTTCATCTTCCTCTCCCAGGCCCTGAAATGCATCCTCATCTTCATCTAGAGGACCATCCTCCAAAGACTAAAAAAAGAGAAAAGAGATTTAGTTATTCATTAAGTTCACAACTTCATTGTAAAATATTCTAAAAATGTTCATCTCACCTTCCCAATCAACATAATAGCTTATGACTTTTTGTAAAGATGGCATTTTTCCTCTCCCCCAATTTCCCCAACATTGGAAAATTTTCAGTATCTTCTTTTCTTTCAGTTTCTCTTTCCTATTCCTTATTTCATTTAGCCTTTTCCCAAAAACATCCCATTTCTCTATCAGGAATCTAATAAAAGCGTATCCTCATGGTTTGCCAGCTTCCTTTACATCACTGGGTAGAACAGTAATGACAACTGAAAATGAACACTTTCCCCTCTTCTGTTTCCTACAGGCCCAAACTCTGGTGATAAAACAGAAAGCTAAAATTTTCAACCACAATTAAGTAAACTCTCAAAAAGCTGTGATATGTCAAGTTCAAGTTCTGACTCCACTCTTACAAATGGTGTGAACTTGGGCAAGTCATTCTTTGAAATTAATTCATTAAATACCTCTGGAGCACCTACAGTGCCTCAGGCTTTGCTAGGCTCTAAGTCTCGGTTTCTTAAGTGGCAACACAGGAACACCACCACCTACCTCACGGTTATGAGGATCCAATGAGGCATAGATTTACGCGAAGACTGGATTGCTCAACAATGCTAGATATCACCATAACAACTTCAGCGGGTTCTATTTTAAACACTTCCTCCTTCTACTTCACTTTGTAACAGATTTTCCAAGTTTTCTTTTCTTTTGGCAACTGACTACCGCTTCTCATCATCCCTCTATGTTTCCATTTCCTATCAAGTATAAAGTACGTGTCCGCGATTTTCAGACTCAGACTCCAAAGGCAGGGCTGTGATATACCTTGCCTGGCTCCCTCGCAGCGAGGCTTTTCCCAAAGGCAAGGCTAGGCCACGGGGCCGTCTCACCCATCGTAAGCCCTCGCAAACGTACACGAGCAGGTGTGCAGCTGCCTCCACCTTAGACGCAACATCCCGCAGCGCTCCTTTCAAATCACAAAGATCTACTTAATCAAATCGCTGGCTTTTTACATTGGAAAGACTCTTATGGATTATCTAGAGCAGCCCTTTCACTCCAGAAATCCGGAAACTTTACGTCCAGAGATTAGGAGTCGCTCAAGGTCACGCAGCGAATTTGTGACAGGTTAGGACTCTCGACGATTGCTTCACGCACCGGGACCGGCACCAAACCCACGTCTCCCTCCACTCGCCCGGAGGGAACTTCCGCCGGACACGCCCCCTCCCAACTCCCAGGCCTCTTTAGTCAACAGCCTGCGGACCCAGTCGAAGGGCACGCCCGGGCCCCATGGACCTGACGGTCGCCTGTGTGCACAGGTGTGTGTAGCTGGAGGGACGGTGGTTCCGGATCCAGGGCGGGAAACGTCTCTGGGCTTTCCCCGGTCCCTCTTCCTCAAGAAGAGCCACCAGGTGGATGTAATGCTTCCCCTCCGCCGCTCCTCCCGGGGTGGGGCTGGCAGGTGGTCCCGTTAAGGGACTTAACGGGCCCTCCCCGCCTCAAAACCGAGGCCAACTCTCCGCAGCCACAACTAAGAGGACAGTCCCGTCCCCTGAAGCCAGCTCACGGCTCTTGGATGAAACCCACGACCCCAGGTGCGACGCGCTCCTCTGAGTCCCGCGGGTCCCACGGCCCGCTCCGCCC